TTCCTGCTTGCTTTTGCCTGGTATATCTTTTTTAGTACTTTTTATTTTTAAAAAATTTTAATGGAAAATTTTAAGCATATTTCAATAGCAGACAGAATGGTATAATTGACCTTCATGTACCCAACAATCACCTTTAACAATTACAACTCATGGCCAATCCCACCCACTCTTCCTACCTTTTCCTGAATTATTTTAAAGCAAATTCCAGACAGCACATTATTTTATCCATAAATATTTTATACATATCTCTAAAAGATAAGGTCTCCTTTTAAAAAATAATAGTATTGTCATTTCTTTTTTAAAAAGTCTTGATACTGTCATGTATCTAATTAGTGTTCAACTATTGCCATTTGCCTCACTTAAAAAAATAGTTTATTTGGTCTAGTTGGAGTCCAGATAAGGTCTATACATGGCAGTTGGTTGATGGCTTAAAAGTTTCCTTTAACTTCTGTGTTACTCCTTTATCTCTCTTCTTCCCTTCTAGTTTATTTGTTGAAGAAACCTCATTGTTTGTCCTTAAGTATTTTTTGGAGTCTGTAATTTGCTAATTGAATCTCTGTGGTGTCATTTAACATGCTCCTCTGTTCCCTGTATTTCCTGTACATTCGACATCCCTTTACTTTCAAGCTGAGTGATTATGTTGTAGCTGTGTCCAGCATATAGCTAGATTTCATTCTTTTAAATAACTACATAATTTGTGTTTTAATCATCAAGTATAATCAGTTTCCATTTACTGTGATTACTGATATATTTGTGCTTATTTCTATTATCTTATTTTGTGCTTCCTATTTACTCCTTATTTTTTCTTTACTTTCTGTCCTTTCCTTCTCTTGTATTGAGTTTTCTATATTCTCCTCTTTCCCTATTTGTTTAGATATTATACATTCTATTTTTAATCTCCTAGTGATTATTCATTATTCTTCCACATTCAGAATTGAGTGTTGAGATGAATTTATTTACCTCCCAAACAATATAAGGACTTTAGACTTTTAACACTGATATGCCTTTTCACATTTTCTCTGATAATGTTTTCTAGTATTTTTGTTCTACCTTGTTTTTAACCCACTCACTTAGTCTCCTTTGTCTTGTAGTTTTGCTGTTGCTGTTGTTAAACGTTTTTTTTTGTTTTTAAGTTATTTATTTATGGCTAGGTTGGGTCTTTGTTGCTGCGCCCGGGCTTTCTCTAGATGTGGCAAGCGGGGGCTACTCTTCGTTGCCGTGTGCGGGCTTCTCATTGTGGTGGCTTCTCTTGTTACAGAGCATGGGCTCTAGGCGCGCAGGCTTCAGTAGTTGTGGCTTGCGGGCTCAGTAGTTGTGGCTCGTGGGCTCTCGAGCGCAGGCTCAGTAGTTGTGATGCACGGGCTTAGTTGCTCTGTGGCATGTGGGATCTTCCCAGACCAGGGCTTGAACCCGTGTCCCCTGCATTGGCAGGTAGATTCTTAACCACTGCACTGTCTTGTATTTTTTTAAGTAAATACTAATTTGAATTTATCAGCATGTTTGCCAGTTTCTTTTCCCTCAGTTGCTTCTCTTTTAAAGAAAAGTTGTAAAGTGAATAGTGTACATATGTAAACGATAAATATATGAAACCAAAACACAAGTTTCATCAAATAATACTTGTCCTTATTGCCTGAGATGCACTCTGGCATTTTCTGTTCTGTGCCATTATTGCTTCTGGCATCCACTTCTTCGAGGATTGTTCTCTTCTTCCTTCCTTTATTAGTTCTTTCAACTAGAGTCTGTTAGTAGCAAGTTCTCCCAGTCTTTAAAAATAGTTTTAATTTTACTACAGTTTGTGAGTGATGGCTTATAGCTAAGTACAGAATTCTAGGTTGATGCTTATTTCCCTCAGCATTTTAAAGATACTATTCCGTTTTCCACTGACATCTCTAATTGCTGAGTTTATAATACCTATGTGCTGTCTGTCTAATTGCTGTTTTTTTATCTCTTATTCCTTTTAAAGTTTTCCTCTTTATGTTTGGTTTATTTTGCATTTTTGATACACTTTGTCTAGGTGTATATTTCTTTTTATTTATACTATATGGGAGTAGGAATGATTCTTTTATTTTTTTAATAGATCCTTATTGGAGTATAATTTCTTCACAATACTGTGTTAGTTTCTATTGTACACCAAAGCAAATCAGCCATATGCATACATATGTCCCCATATCCCCTCCCCCTTGAGCCTCCCTCACATCCTCCCTATCCCACCCCTCTAGGTCATCGCAAAGCACCGAGCTGATCTCCCTGTGCTATGCTGCTGCTTCCCACTAGCTAACTCTTTTACATTTGGTAGTGTATATATGTTGATGCTACTCTCACTTTGCCCAGCTTCCCCCTCCCACCCAGTGTCCTCAAGCCCATTCTCTATGTCTACATCTTTATTCCCGCCCTGAAACTAGGTTCATCAGTACCTTTTTTTTTTTTTTTTTTTTTAGATTCCATATATATGTGTTAGCATACATTGTTTGTTTTTCTCTTTCTGACTTACTTCACTGTGTATGACAGACTCTAGGTCCATCCACCTCACTACAAATAACTCAGTTTTGTTTCTTTTTATGGCTGAGTAATGTTCCATTGTATATATGTGCCACATCTTCTTTATCCATTTATCTGTGAATGGACATTTAGGTTCGTTCCATGTCCTAGCTATTGTGAATAGTGCTGCAGTGAAGATTGTGGTACATGTCTCTTTCTTAATTATGGTATTTTCAAGGTATATGCCCAGTAGTAAGATTGCTGGGTCATATGGTAGTTCTATTTTTAGTTTTTTAAGGAACCTCCATACTGTTTTCCATAGTGGTTGTATCAATTTGCATTCCCACCAGCAGTGCAGGAGGGGTCCCTTTTCACCACACCATTTCCAGCATTTATTGTTTGTAGACTTTTTGATAATAGCCATTCTGACAGGCATGAGGTGATACCTCATTGTAGTTTTGATTTGCATTTCTCTAATAATTAGTGATGTTGAGAATCTTTCCATGTGCCTCTTGGCCATCTCTGTGTCTTCCTTGGTGAAATGTCTATTTAGGTCTTCCATCCATTTTTTAATTGGATTGTTTGTTTTCTTGGTATTGATCTCCATGAGCTATTTGTATATTTTGGAGATTAATCCTTAGTCAGTAGCTTCATTTGCAAATATTTTCTCCCATTCTGAGGGTTGTTTTTTTGTCTTGTTTATGGTTTCCTTTGCTGTGCA